CACAAATGGAGGGAATGGGAGTGCTCCTTGTGAGATTAACAATTTCTCTCTCTAGAGACTTGGAAAGTTCCCGATAATGGGATCGATGTTCTCTGAAACAGCAAACTAGGATTTTCTTGTTCTCTAATTGGGTTTTCTTTCTTCTTCTTAATCGTTCTTACACGTTTTTCTTACTTTTCTCATTCTCCCATCTTCTCTCTGTTTTTGTCTTACTCGTTTATCGCCTAATCTTTCATATTCTTCCATCTGAGGCTAGGGTTTTTAAAAGGGCTTTCAAGGAAAAATCTCATCAGAGCATTTGCACTTCGGAGTCCATTCTTAACAGGCCTTGCTTGTTCATTTCCTTGTTCAAGATGGATTCAAATCTAATCCACAAATTGCAGAGATTTGACCTTTCGGAAAAAGAGGAATCGGGCATCACACTATCTGAAGCAGATGTTTAAGTCGGTGTCATAGAATGCTCGTTGAGTCTGGTGGGTAAAATATATGGAGAAAAAAAGGTGCACTTTGGCGGGCTTAAAGAGACGCTCGGAACCATATGGAAAACAAACAAACCCTTCTCAGCTCGTCAACTTGGACAGAATCTCTTTCAATTCATATTCAAGTCCAAGGAAGATAAGCAGAAAATTCTTAGAGGGCGTTCCTGGAACTTCGATGGCCAATATCTTCTTCTGAAGGAATGGACAACATCTGTCTCAGACTGTAAGGAAGACGAAAAAGTGGACACTTGGATTCAAATTCACAATCTGCCATTGCACTGGGTCTCTCATGATACTGGTTTAAAGATTGGTCGGCTGTTCGGCAAGGTGCTGGACGTTTATGTACCAGACTCTGGGAGTATCCATGGCCGAATAATTAAAGTTCTGGTGGAGCTTCGGCTCGATGAACCAATACTCAGAGGAGCTAATATCAACTTGGGACATGAATCTTGCTGGGTGGATTTCAGGTATGAGGGGTTGCAAACCTTTTGTTTCTATTGCGGGAGAATAGGTCACAGTGAGAGGAGTTGTGATAAAAAGAAAGATGACATTGTTAGGAATGCGTTAAAACCAGGTCAATTTGGAGAATGGCTTAGGGCCTCATTTGGGGGTCTTCAAGGCCTTAGGAACAAAGATTCCTTAGGCTCAAGTTCTCCTAAAACAAACACAGTCTCTGAAACCTCTGGTAGCAAGTTACAGGTTGGTCATGAAACTGGTATAGGAAGTGATAAGTTAGACTCTCTAAAAAGCTCAATTATGAACAAGAATATTATTAATGAGTCTAGCCCCTCTGCTGTTAATACTACAACTAATGTGAGGGTTAACCAAGAGGTTGTTGCTTCAGAAAAAAATGATGCACCTCCTGTTACCCAAACATTAGTTGAAGTGCCAGTCATACATGTGAAATCTTCCAAAATCCCTCATCCAGGGAACTCATCAGGACAACAGAGCCTGAACAAACCCATCAAAAATCCATCTAGATCAGTTAGAGTTATTAGAAAAACTCCTGGTGACAAAATGGCTGTGGATGGGACTTCAAAAATTGAAGACACCCCTCTGAATGTTAATAGTAAGAGAGTTCTATTAATTGGAGAGGAGTCTGAGGATATTCTTAAGTCTGATCCCAAGAAAGCCAAAATTTCAATCCCCCAGGTAACCCAAAGTCCCTCTCAGTCCAATATGGTGGTGGTGACCAACCAAAAATGGTCACATTGTGACCAATGAAAGTCTCGGTGTGGAACTGTAGAGGTCTGGGAGGGCCCTCTACAGTTTCCCAATTTAAGGAGACCCTAAGGTCCCACCTTCCTGATTTTGCTTTTCTTTCTGAAACTAAAAAAAAAAAAGAAAAAGTTTGTTATCACTGTTTGTAAAAAGCTGAAAATGGAAGATAGATGGTTTTATCTAGAGCCTGATAATTATAAAGGGGGCTTGCTTTTGCACTGGTCTAGAAATATTAATATGATCTCTGTTTCTGGGCATCAGTTTTTTGTTGAAGTTTGTTTTACCTTTAAAAATGATCCTGATATCTTTTGGGGAGCTTTTGTATATGCCAGTACTGATGCTAAAATTAGGGAAGTCCAATGGTTGACTTTAATGAGTCATAAAGTTTTGTGGGGTCCTAAATGGTTTGTGGGAGGTGATTTCAATGATATTTTGTCTAATGATGAAAAAAATGGTGGCCTTTTGAGAAGTGAAAAAAGTTTTAAATCCTTTAAACTTTTTGTTAAAAATATGGATATGGTTGATATCCATTTTTAAAGGGTATCCTTACACTTGGGCCAATAATAGAAGAGACTGTGATTTTGTAGAGGAGAGACTTGATAGATTCTTCATTTCTCCTGAATGGGCTATGCATTTTCCTAGATCTGAAGTTTTGCATATTCCTCTCATGTCATCTGATCACTCCCTCCTTATATTGGATACTCACTGTGATGTAGAAAAGAGGAAGAAAAGGTTTTATTTTGACTCTAGGTGGACCAAGCATAAGGATTTCAAGCAGGTGATTGAGCAGTCTTGGAATTTGGGTACCTTTGGATCTGACCTGTACAGCATTCAAGCAAGAATTAAGAATGTCAGAATAGCCATACTTAAATGGAAGCAGACAAAGGAGTTTAATTCTGAGAAAAAGATAAATTGCTTGAAGCAGCAACTGAAAAATCTTGTAGAGCAGGGCAAAGATAGGGATGGGAATCAGTGGGATACATTGAGACAACAGCTCCACTCTGCATATTATGAGGAAGAATCTTACTGGGCTCAGAAAGCAAAGAAACAATGGCTTCAACAAGGGGACACGAATACAAGCTATTTTCAAGCATGTGTCAAGCAGAGGAGAAGAATTAATAGTGTGGAAGGAATTCTGAACAGAAATGGACAGAGATGTACCTCAGATACGGAAACTGTGGATGAGATTCAGAGCTACTTTGCCACTCTCTTTCAAACATCAAACCCTTCCCTTGACTGGTATAGTTTAGAAGGAATTCCCAGCTCCATTGATGAGGATATGAACAAGCAACTCACTAAGAATGTGACTCTTGAAGAGGTCAAAGCTGCTCTAGATGAGATGCATCCGAATAAAGCCCCTGGAGTCGACGGTATGTCCCCTCATTTTTTTCAATTTTCTTGGGATATTGTCAAATCCTCTCTCTTTTCAGCAGTTGATAATTTCTTTCAAACCAAAAAAATGCCCAAAAATGCCAATCATACAGTCATCACTCTTATTCCTAAAAAAGCTAACCCCCAGTCTGTTTTAGATTTTCGTCCTATTAGCCTTTGTACAGTTACTTATAGACTTGTTTCTAAAATTTTGGCTAATAGGATTAAGAAATTTTTGCATTGCTGTATTAGCCATAATCAAACTGCTTTTGTCCCTGGCAGGCAGCTATTGGATAACTTTATTATTGCTAATAAATGTGTTCATTATCTTAATAGCAAAAGATCAGGCAAGGATTGCTATATGGCCCTCAAACTTGATATGGCAAAAGCCTTTGACAGAGTTGAGTGGCCCTTTTTGGCAGCTATCCTCCAAAAAATGGGTTTTTCTGATATCTTCATCTCTTGGGTTATGGCTTGTGTCTGTTCTTCTTCATTTTCTTTTAACATTTCAGGCCAGCCTATGGGTTATTTGCTTCCCTCAAGAGGTATTAGGCAGGGGGATCCCCTTTCCCCTACCTCTTCATCATTATCTCTGAGGCATTTTCTAATTTGCTCAAGCAAGCCACTGCTTTTCACTCTTTCCAGGGCCTTAAAATCAGTAAGAATTCTCCTGTAATTTCTCACCTATTTTTTGCAGACGACTCCATTATATTTTGTAAGGCTGACTCTGCCCATGCCTCTATTATCTCTAATATTCTGCTTTTGTATAGTTTAGACTCCGGCCAGAAGGTCAATTTTGATAAATCCTGTCTTTTTTTCTAAGAATACCCCTGCTGCTGTGAAGGAGAACATCTGTTCCATTTTGCCTGGGCTTTCAATTGTTAAATCCACAAGGTACCTTGGCTTGCCTTTAGGTTTAGGTAGAACAAAAAAAGAAACTTTTAGTTATATTTTGAAGAATGTTTTAAGCAAAATAGAGAATTGGAAGAATAAATTTCTAAGTGAGGCTGGGAAAGAAATTTTGATTAAAACAGTGTTGGGGGCTTTACCAACTTTTGTGATGTCATGTTTCAAACTGCCTTTGAAGATTTGTCAAGATATTTGCAGGGCAATAGCAACATTCTGGTGGGGTAATAATGCAGCTGGGCATAAGAGAATTCATTGGGCCTCCTGGGACAAACTTGCTAAACCCAAAGAACTAGGAGGATTAGGCTTCAAATGCCTGGTGTCTTTCAATGAGGCTCTTCTGGCAAAGCAAATTTGGACGATCAAATCTCAACCTAATCTGTTGGTCTCTAAAGTGCTAAAAGGGAAGTACTTTCCTACAGGAGACATCATGGATGCTGCTCATAAATCCTCAGATTCTTGGCTTTGGAGTTCATGGCTTAAAATCAAGCATATTGTGAAGAAAGGAACTCTTTTTCAGATTGGAGATGGGAAAAATATCTCAATATGGAATGACCCTTGGATTCCTGACCTGCCCAACCACAAGCCTATCTGTGTTTTTCAAAAGGACAGGGAAAAACTAGTCAAGGTGAGGGATCTTTTTCTTTCTGATGGTTCTGGTTGGAATAAGTCTCTCATTGCACAATTCTTTTCAGCCAAGGAAGCTTTTGCTATTCTAAAAATTCCACTCGTCAGTGTACAACAGAAGGATAAATTACGTTGGACTCTTCATAAAAGTGGAATCTTCTCAGTTAGGTCTGTATATAAGCATATTATAGCTGAAAAGTGTCTGAAATCCTTTCCCCCTGAGTCCAGTACTGCTTCAGGTTTGCTTGCAAAAATGTGGAAAAGAACTTGGAGGCTAAAGGTTAAAAATAAAATTAAGAATTTCATTTGGAGATGTTGGTTTGGTTATCTGAGCACCTCAGATCAGTTACTGAAGAAAGCTATCCAGGTAGACCCAATATGTCATATGTGTGGAGAAATGGAAGAAAGCTTGCTGCATTTATTCTTTTCATGTTCTAGAGCTGGTTTGGTCTGGAAATTAGCTGGTATTGAGTGGTTTGGGATCAAAGGTCCTCCCACTTCTTTTCAAGAATGGTGGCTGGATATTTTTAAACTCTCTTCTGATGAAGTGTATGAAGATAGAATCCACTTAACCACTTACATCCTGTGGTGGCTGTGGAAAACCCGAAATGCTTGGGTGTTGAACAAAGATTGGAAGTCAGAAATTGAAGTGGTCAGGGGAGCTCGGATAGAATGGATGGAATATGAAGCTGCTAATCCCAAGCTTTTTCCTCCTGAAGCACTCCAGTTTCATGTATAGTTATATTTCGGTTGTTTTAGATTTTGTATATAGTTCTGGTCTTTTGCTCCTTTTTGCTTTGGTCTGTCTAAAGTCAGTAGGCTATGTGTTAGCAGTGCTGTTTAGTGGGCCAATTATTCTGCCTGTGTGTTAGTGCATATCTCTGGTAGTTTTTGTGTTTGGTGTCTTTTTAGGCTGTTAGCTTTTGTGCTTCTTTTTTTGTATTTTGTTAGGCTGTTGCCTTCTTTGTACTCATCTGCAGATGGTAGATGAGGTATCCCTATCTCCTTCATGGAGCCCTCTTGTACATTTCTTTTGAGTTTTATGGAATGCAATCGTTTCTGTGGAAAAAAAAAAAGAAACACAAATGGGGGGAAATGAATTGTTTTTTCTGTGAAAGTGAAACACAAATGGGGGGAAATGAATTGTGTTTGAGTGAGGTGAAATGTGAATTGGGGGAAAGAAATTGTTAATACCATTAAGGGGTAATTTTGTAATAGCACATGCCAAAATGGCTAAAAATGATGTTTTTTACAAAACATGGTCAAAATTTGTGTTTTGTAAATCTTTATGACCATTTAATGGTACTTTTTTTTCGGTACAATGAAGGGGCCGAAGCCTAGGCTAGTACTCGACGAGGGTATGACACCCCTATGAGGTCGTGCTCGAGCCACTGACCCATACCACTGGGGGCGAAGTGACTCTCTGAATTCCAATCGGGCAAGATGCCGCTAGCCCCGCCATAAAGTCCGCTGCGAAATTTGCTTCCCTATGGACATGTTGAATTCTCACAGTCCATTCTCTTTGGACCAGATCACGAGTAGCCCTAACCATTTGTTATGGCCATTTAATGGTATTAACACTTATTTATATCTTTTTCATTCTACATCAAAAAATAATTAGTAATAAAAAAAAATCTAAACTACTCTAAGAATTCTATTTTGCTTCACTTCTAATATTATTGCGGGGCAAACGAGAAAACCCAAACCACCCTAATCCCTATCATATATAAGCCTCACATTTTGCCAAAATTAATTAATAAATAAATAAATAAATAAAAAAGAAAAGGCCTCATATTTGGCACGTCAAAAAGTCAAAACGTGGTGAAATACATGTTGAATCAACCTTTAAACTTAAGCACGTGCATAGGGAAGCCAACTTTGCAGGTCGAGGGGTTCTTTATGAACATCGGTATTGGCACCATCATCGGGGCGGAATTATGGGGC